CGTCAGCTCCTTCACGCGGCCGCCGATGCAGAGGCCGCAGTTGCGCGGCGGGGACGCCGGCTCATCCTTCACCTGTCGGAGTGGGGATGCTGGCTCCTGCTTTACGCGGACGCGTGGCAGGGACGGTGGCTCCTCCTTCACGCGCGCCATGGTGGCACCGGGCCCATGTGACGGAGCAAACACTACGTCATGATCTCCATCTGACAGATGGATTCTTCGTCCGTTAAAGCCGCCTACGAGTGGAGACGGGGCCGCTGCTGCGGCTAGTCCTTCTCGTCGCCGGAGGAGATGACTATGTCCTCCTTGCCGAAGGAGATCGTCATCGTGGAGATGGATGGTCCAAAGAGCGAGGGCAGCGACGCCACCATCCGCTTGAAGAACTTCCACCGGCGCGGAGAACCAGGACTTCGGCGTCGCCGCTGGGCTTGGGAAGGTGGAAGGGCTCGGCGAGGTGACGGGGAGGGAGAGGGGAAGGAGGACGGTACTCGGGGAGGGAGGGTGTTGCTCTATGTGTTGGCGGTGCACGGCTTAAATAGCCACGGCCAGGCCAGGCGAAGGGACGGTCAGCCCACTTCAATGCGGCGCAGCAGACGGAGTTGATTTCTCGGGACGCGGCATCTGCATTGAAGCGGCGACGCTCGAGAGGTCGCATGTGTTTGTGCAGCCCTCCCGTCCGACCGAATCGCGGGCATCAATTTCGGCCGTTGCATGCTCTAGGCTAGCATGAATGCGGCGCGGCAAGTGGTGCGACCATTTGATGGAGAGCGCGGGAGAGGCGGGTGGGGTTTGGAGAGGGCGTGGCAGCGGCCTGGACACCTATAAAACCCCCCACATTTCTCTCTGGTTTGCGCGAGAAAATGCGTACGGACCGCACGACAGCGTGATACAGGCCAGTGTTGGATGGCACAACACACCTGGACTGCGTGGTCTGAACGTATGTAGCGATTTGAAGGTCGGCATTGGTGATGCCCTAAAAAGCACAAACCAAAATAGGATTGCAAAATCTGACGGTCCCTAACGTAGATCTACTTGTGTGCAAGGGCTGGCACTAAGAGCATCTCCAGCCGCGCCCCCAATAGGCCCTTCCCAGGCATTTTCTCGCGTCGGTGCCCAAAAATCGGCCCAGTCGCGCCCCAGGAGCCCGTTTTTCGCCGGTTTGCACCGAAACTGGCACCGGCGGCCCCAGGCCAAACCCGTCGCGCTGGGGACACCCGGGGGTGCTCGGACGAGCGGTTTTGGCACGAGAGAGCCGCGGGCCCGTCCAGTCAGCGACACGCGCCTTATCTTCCCCAGAACGACTCGGTTTCCCGCGGGAAATCAATGGCAAGGCTGCCGCCGGTTAGCCTTGCCATGCATTCCTCACAGGTGGCGCGTCACGGGCGGGCGCGGCGACGCCTCCCCTCCCGCCACGCGTACACACGGCGTGGGGCTATAAAACCAGCGGCTATCCCTCGCCGCTGGCCACACCAGCCCGAGCCCAAACCAGTCGCCGAGCTCTGCCTCTCTCCCCTCTGCCACCGAGCTCTGCCTATCTCCCATTTCCTCCCCTTCTCTTCCCTCTCAGCGATGGTCGAACGCTTCCCGGGCGATGCAGTGGCGGCCAACGGCTTCGGCCGCCGCTCGGTCCACAAGTGGGAGGCGTACCTCCTCTTCGAGGCCAACAACCCGGTGCTGACGGACATGCGTGTCGGGCCGATGGGGTGGAGGCTCGGCAACGGGGGCGTCCCCATCCCCCCGGTGCCCGACGTCGATGCGCGCCCTCGCATCTTCACCGCCGAGGTCAACCGTGTGCGGGCGTCCCTGCCGGAGGAGCAGCGCGCCCTCCCCCAGTACGCCGCCGACAACCACGCGTCGTGGGCGGTGTACTTCCAGCACCAGCAGGCACAGCGGCTGGCGCCCACCAACGGGGCGTCAGTGGTGGGCGGCGTCAAGAACAGCGATGGACGCCGCGTATGGTGAGGCGCCCCGGGCGCACACTCCACGAGGTGTTGGCATACCTCGAGGGAGGCAATAACCCGCCGCTGGCATACCCAGCCGCAGCGGCCGCCCCGCCCGCCCGTCGGAGCGCCTGGCAATGGGTGCCTAGGAGGTTCAGCTCCTCCTCGTCTTCCTCCTCTCAGTCCTCCTTCCGCTCCTCCTCCCATTCCTCTGGCTCGCTGGCGCTGTTCGGCGTCAAGGCCGAGCCCGCCGCGGAGACACCGCTTGACCGATGCACCCACAACGCTGGCATCGTCATCAACGAGGACGGCAGGCGCGCCTCCTCCTCGACTCCTCCGCGCTACGTCAAGCCAAAGACGGAGTCGGGGCTCGCCGCCGTCAAGACGGAGCTAGGGCTCCCCGTCGTGAAGACGGAGCCCAGGCTCACCAGCGGCGTCAAGGAGGAGGAGGTCGACGATGCGACGACCTTCAAATGGGCGCGTGAAGACTGGGCACGCACGGAGCTGGAGCTGGAGCGCCTCGCCTACGAGCGGTTCGAAGCTCGGCGCCGTGGCCGGGACGAGGGAGGCATAGTCGTCCTCGACGACAGCAACGACAACACGCGCCGCCACCGGTCCGCCAGGGCGACGCCGGGCAGGGGTCCAGCAGGGGCGGCCACGTCAAGAAGGAGAAGGCCGCCGACGACGAGGAGGATGGTGGCGACATCAGCGACTTCGCCGCGCTCAGCGACTTCTTCGCCCCTTAGTTGGGTTCTTTTTAAATAACTTATGTAACATCGAACATGTCGAATATATGTCAAGTTTGCCGAACTTTAGCCGAACGTTTTGTCCAATTTGCCGAACTTTGCCGAATCCCCCTTTTTTAAAAAAATCCTCATCTGGGGGCGACAGCCGCTCGCCCCCACGCCAATTTTAGCGCCGGCTCGTCCCCAGGCGGCGATTTTACGCGCCTCCCGAGGGGCCAACGGCTGGAGATGCTCTAAGGCGGCAAATTTTCATTTGACATTTTGATCTGACAATATAGAGAGCACATGCTTCGAACCATAATTGGCATGGTTTGGCTTTAGCTGGTCATATCCAACATATCGTTGTTGATCGTGGCAGGAAAGTTATTGCCTATTTGTCTCCATATTTATTATTAAGATAGTTAAGTTACTTGAGCTTCAAATCTTGATAGTTTGCTTGCTCGAGCACTTAACTAGAGATGTGTTCACTATGCTAATGTGGGGTCTCGGTAAAATATTTTATAGTCGGGCACTCTATGACATTGGTTTGGTAATTTGTTATATTATTATCGGTAAAGCTATCTGGCGAACGTTTGTCAGAGACCAAATCCCGTCGAACGGCCCCAGAACTGTTTCTGCTCAAAACTTCCCGCATTTTAAACAAACTGCCACGGCAGTTTTGAGAAACGTAACCCCCAGCCACATAAACTACCATTCCGGGGGTTCGTGTTTGCCATCCCTCCTGTTGAACGGTCGCCAGGGATTGGGGTCCATTATTATTAGGCTTTAGAACATTGCGAACCTATCGATTTCATCGTACGAAACAACAAATTGAGACATATTTGTCCAACGTACTAGCACCACAATACGAATCAAGATTAAAAAAAATGGTCCTGCCCCCCTCATCAGCATCGTATATTGACAAATGACATGCAGGAATATTGACAAATGACATGCAGATCCCTACCACCTCCTTTTTGCTCGATATGCTGGTGATGCATGCACTAATTGGACACCCTCCTGCTCACCAGTGTTAAGACTGTTGAGGTAAATGGTCTTTTATGTTTTGTTGGTGGAAAAAATAATGTACGCAAACCAAGCGGTAAAAACTACACCTCTGTTCCTAAATATAAAGACGTTTTGACAGTTTAATTTGAAACAAAGGTAGTGGTAAGGAAGCTTGATCGTTAGATATATTTTCTAACAGAAGCTTCATTAAGAGGCCAGGGAGCTTCTCTCCATTTCTTACAGAACAAGACTGAACAAAACTAGATCAAAAACCATATAAAGAATGGTTGATTTAAGGATAACCAAAAAACCATGACAACAAGAAACATTGTGTATCAAGTAGCAACTAGACCTAAGATGCAACCTAGCAGAAGCACCCATGCGGGAGGCATCAGCGCTCACCAATAGCAAGCAAACTCCACCGCCAAACTCGATTAGTAGTTGCCTATTCATCTTTCAAGCTATTTTCAATCTATTCACATAAAAATTATGACCGGGAGTATTAACACCATTGAGCTATTATTAAGAAGATAACAAGATATTTGGGTTTATTGATTACGCAAAATACACCAATGGTATGTGATCTGCTCTACATATTGATCAAACCTAGGTGGAGACGTCGTTGCAATTCCACAAGGTTGTCTCACGTTTCTTTTTTTAAGTTATTTAAAGGAGAATTCATCGAATATGAACAAAGTCTGAGCCCTCTAACTGGCAGGATTTCAAGAATTTGCTACCACCCATCTCCTGCCGATACCTTCATGCCCATGAGATTGTTCATATCACTCCTAGGAATTTCAGAATGGTGCATGGATTTCCGTACGGTAACCAAACCCTACTTAATTCGCAAGGTATCTAGGCCTAACAACGCCAAACTCAAAGGACAATGCATGTGCCGTAAATATTGCGTGCCAGAGTTAGGATTCCGTGCGTTGGTTTATCGGGCAAAAAGTTCCGATTGGATTATTGATAAGGATGAATCATGCATGAGCGTGCTTTCAAATATTTTTAAGTTAAAAGGAAAAGTGTGCAATCGACAATATTATATGTATACATCAATGTACTTGAAATAAGGCAAAGCTTTGCCTTTTCCATTAGTTAAGAAGATGGTTGCTCAATTAATTGTGGAACTCAGCTGCCACCTTGTTAATGTAAACATCCATCTCTATTGTTCATGTACATTCCATCTAAATAGGCGCCATACATAAGCGCTTGATATCACACAAATGACTCACGGAAAATACACACTAAACAATCCCATGAAAGACACAACACGAGCAAAGGATACATGTAGGAGCACGAGCAAAAAGAAGATAAGTGAAGACAGTCTTCATGGCTTAGCCTCCGGCTCCGCGAAGTGGAACTCCGGGATGGTGGGCATCTCTGGCTTTGGCGGCAGCTCCACCTTAGGCAGCTCCGGCTTGGCTGGAAGGTGCACCTCCGGGAACGTTGGCAGCTCGGGCTTTGATGGCAGGTGCACCTCAGGGAACGACCGCAGCTCTACCTTGGGCAGCTCGGGCTTCGGTGGCAGATGTACCTCCGGGAATGGTGGCAGCTCAACCTTGGGAAGCATTGGTAGCTCCGGCAGGTGCTCTTCGCCTTTGGACGGAGCTGTCTCCTCCTCCAGAATTCTTGCCGCGCTGCTCATGGGGACGCACGAGAGGAGCAGCCCGACAAGGAATGCAGCAGTGTTTCTCGAAGCCATTTTGATGGACGACTATGGTTGTACTAGCTAGCTCTGTGGTGTGGTTTTGTTGTGGGAGAGATAGCAGGTGCTGCATTCCATTTATAGAGTTAAGAAACGCTTGAGTGTCTTGGGTCCAATGCTTTGCAACGAGTCTGTTCACCTACTCACCTGCAGTTCCCGGTTTTATGTGTGCTCTTTAATTTCGAGTCTCAGTCTGGCCACCTGCTTACGAATTGGGTGAAGAGAGATTAGAGAGTTCTTTCGGCTTTTGCGGCTGATGTTGAGGATAGACACGCAATTGTTAGGCCAGCTGCTAAGACTAAACGCCTTATCCAGGGGACCATTAGGTGGCAGAAGAACACAAGCAAGTTTGTACATCAGCAATTGCCATTGCTAGCTGCCGCCAACTAGACTCCTCCCTTTTCTTCCTTCTCCAGCATCTGAGCTAGACGACTGGCGGCACCCCAGAGGTTACGCTATAAGAATAACACGCGCACGTCCGTTTGTCAGATTTTTCCCAGATCGATACAATTAGTAGAGACAATGAAAATTAGATAAAATTTTGAGTTCAGTGTCTGGTTCAATTGCCCTTTTGGGTCTCCAAACTTGTCTACTTGCCAAGGTCCTGAAGTGTACTATTATTAAGATAGTTACTTTACCAACAAACCCTGCTTAATTTGCTTGCTCTGCCGGTGTGGTACTTAAGTGTTGAGCACTCGGTCACGTTGGTTTGATTGTTGTTGTCTTATTGTTTGGCTTTTGAATTTGGCCAACCTATATAGATTTCATCCTACACAAGAACAGATTGGGACATATTTACCCGCCGAATGGAACACCAAAAATCTGGAGTAAGGTAACAAAAAAGTGGTCCTGCACTCCTCATCAGCGGCATTTGTGTTGACACTTGACACCCAGATCACTGCCACCTCCATTCGCTCGATGCTAGGATACGACATGGAGTTAAAATAAGGACCAGGTCAAGTAAAAAAATTACAAAAGGAGAGACCAAGCGGCCATACAACACGGAAGTGAGCTACCACGCCCACGCACCCAAGAACAGTGTGATTCTGGGACACCCCCGAGACACCCTCTTACTCAAGCATTAGTACTATTGATGCAAACTCAACAACAATGTGTGGGTTCTAAATATCAGCTGTTAAAGCTAGGACGGCTTGAGGTCGAAGAAAAAATGTTTGGGCTTTTATGTTTTATTGATGCAGTCAAAAAAGCTTGCTGTAAAAATTGTTGTAAGGAAGTATGCATACTTAAGAAGCACCCTTACGAGAAAAGGGTAATTGTGAGAACAAAATATAAATTTCTCATATATACCAACATATGAGCAGATCACTCACAACACTCGCTGAAAACCACAACTAAACAATCAGATCATGGACACGACGCGACAAATAGGTACATGTACGAGGAGCAGAGGAGGTACAACAAGGCAACAATATTGATAAGGCAGTTCTCATGGCTTGGCCTCCGGCTCCGGGAGGTGGAACCCGGGAACAGTGGGCAACTCAGGCTTAGATGGCAAGTGCACCTCCGGGAGCGGCGGCAGCTCCACCTTGGGAAGCTCAGGCTTAGGTGGCAGATGCACTTCCGGGAACGGTGGCAGTTCTACTTTGGGAAGCGATGGCACCTCGGGCTGGTGCTCCTCCTTGGAAGAAATGGTCTCTTCTAGAATTCTCGCCGCGCTGCTCATGGCAACGCAAGAGAGAAGCCCGAGGAGGAAGACAGCAGAGTTTTTCGTAGCCATATTGCTCGACGTGTGCACTGGCTAGCTCTGGCAGTGTGGTTTGAGTGTTGTGTGGGAGAGATAGCAGGTGCTGCTTGCTATTTATAGGGTACAGAAGGCAGCGTGCACAGAAAGTCCGGCCATATGCAACGAGTTTGGTCATCTCCTTGTCTGCACTGCGTTTCAGAGTCTACATCTGCTCAAGATTTGGGTCAGGAAAAGGGCAGGCTGCACTTGAGGACACCGTGCAGATGCCGTGTGCAGGGTGGGTACCACCGTGCAAGCTCATAGAGCTGTTAGGTCAGCTGTGAGAGAGAAGAGATCTTATGACACAAGCAAGTGTATATCCTTAAGTAAAACAAAAACAAAAAATTGCCGAAGCAAAAACAATCTGGAATTTAACATGCTAGAACAATTATCTCGGAAGTATGAATCACAACATTGTTATAAATGTGTTGGCTTTTCACAGTTTCAGCAAATAAGGAGCACAAAACAAAACTTGATTGCAAAATCTGGTGACCCCTAACATGGATCTACTTATGCGCAAGCGCTGGCATAGGATGCAACAACTTCATTTGAAGTCATGATCTGACAATAGGGTGCACGTGCTTCCAACCATAATTGGCATGGTTTGGTTTTCGGGATGTCTTGTCAACCAATATAGTCTGGATTGAACAGCTGTTAGCTGCAAAACATGCAAGGAGTTCAACAAAGGAAGCTAAGGCTGGTTATGCAAGACGAAATAAATGGTTATAAAACTGGATTGTTTAAAACGATTCAAACTGAGATTGGTTAAAACCTTGATAGCACAAGAACATACAGGAGGGAATCCTCGTCACGCTATCTCAACCCCTGATGAGATACACAGCTTGGAATCAGCTCCACCACTTATCACGCTGTCTCCTTTCCACCAATCGGCGCATAAAACCTACATCCAGTGAGTTCTGTTGAGCATCTCATTTGTCCTAGAAGTATGGAAATGGTAACCACAAAATAAAAGGTTTACCTTATCTTTGTGGGAGTCCACAGAAGCCAGAGGCCACTACAGCAGGAGCAAAACCATTAATTGTATGTTTACGCAGTGATTTGAAAGAAAGAGAACAAATCAGGAAGTAAATGAGATTTACAGAATCTTACAGCTGTTCTTAGATCCCACAACATCACTTTCCCATCAAACGAGGATGATATCAAATGAAACCAGGAACTTGGATGCCATTTGCAGGCGGAGATCCAGCTTGAGTGTGAAGAGAACTGGAAAATAGGAGCTGTCGTTCCTGATCAAAGGAAAACATATGAGCTAATTTGAATGTGTTTCCAACAAAGCTATACAAAACATAGTGCTTAGTATGTTTACCAGGTTTGCGGGGATCCCATACCCTCAATACAGGGTCAGAACCACCAGCTGCAATCAGTGAAGAGCCCTCGCCACCACAGTCCAAACAATTCAAGGCCTTCCCACAAAACTGGAAGAAAGATTGGAGATAAAATAGAATAAGATTGGTACAGTTATGAAACAGAGCAATAGAGCTGCACTAGTCATATGACCGCTGGACAAATATACTGTTTGGACTGTACAAATGAGTTGATGATAGAGTGTGTACTCTTTCAGTTTGCAGGAGGCAAAACTGAGATAAACTAGAAAATCAGCACCCAGCTTGAAAAGTTGTTCCTATCCCTACTGCTATGCTAGCACAAAAACAGCATATGATTTGTTTTCACAGCTAGTCAGATAACAACAGAGTGCACTACATAATTTGCAATCTATTTCTCTCGCCATACCATGTTCCATGTTTCTCTCCCTGTTTGAGCATCCCACTGCCGAACAGAATGATCCCAAGATGCCGAATATATTGTTCGCTGCTCAGGCCAAGCAACAGAAGAAACACATTGTGTATGTCCCAGAAGTGTTGAAGATGCTGAACCCTGGAGTACAACAGGATAAAAAGTGTGAGTTCAACAGGATTTAACATGAGTTCATGACAACCAATGAATCCATTGTAGCACAAGGATTTCAAAAACAAGCCAAGGCCCATTTTCAAGTGAATAAATGGAATAAAGAGGTCCAGTTACTATGAAAAAGTCAAGAGTAGCTTACAACTTTGATAGAACCAAACCATTTTTACCTCTGCTGTGTATTCATACTACTTGGACTGGAATAAAAAAACAGCATATACAAAATGGAATAAAAAAACACCACATACACAAAATAGAATGACACGTACTTGGCTTCTTAAATATATCAAGCAACAGATAAATATACTTCACCACACAGGCATTACGCGTATAGGAACCAAGAATTTGGATTACAACATAACTAACAAGTACCTCTAACTGAGACTCTTCAGGTCCAGATGCATCAGAGTTCATCCTTCTCTTTTTCACAGAGACGGTGTCGCCATCTTCTTCAGATCCTTCGACTGCCCATAGCTTAATAGTGGTATCCCAGGAAGCAGAACATATCTAGGTACGGAAAAATACGTTCAGAAGAAGAAATCAGGATAAAAATAATAATATAACATTGTTGTGCAACATCAGATCAAGTGAATCATTACCATATTTCTGGAAGGGTCAACAGCAATACTTTGAATAGATGATGTATGGCCAGGAAGAATTTTGTAAGCTCCAATTCGCTTCGAGGAGCCGATGGTGACTGAAGTATCAAACTTCAAGAAATGCATAGCATAATTTAAGATCGAAAGAAGTATATGTTACAGCGTAAATAAAACAAGTCTTGGAAAACGAAAACTGCGTAGATTTACCTTGAACAGGCGCAATGACCTATCCTTTGAGCCAGTCACAACATGCAAACTGCCATCAGTTTCAACTCCTGGAACAACATTATTCAAGTTAGTTTGCTTCAAGATACATATGGCCTGATACTGGCAATGGTAGGAAAACAATTAGCAACAGGAATGCACCAGTATATCAATTTTAATAAATATTAAATATTTTTAGTAAAGTAACCTTTATTGATGAAGCTGGCAGAAGTAATTGCACCACTGTGTCCCTCCAAAACTTGTGTACATTCAGCTGCATCTTTCCATATTCTATGCAAGAATGGAATTTAAAAAGGTAAGACATACAAAAGTACTACATACTTTTTATGCAACAATTGACACTGTTTATTCGCTTTTTAAAAAACAGGGTCAAACAGAATAAACAGAAGATCTGATAGATGCACACCTTGCAAGACCATCATAGCAACCTGTTAATATGAAGCTGCCAAAAGATAAGTGGTTTAGTAATACTGGAATCCACAAAGAAGCAAACATCAAAGAATGGTCAACAATGTAGATGGTTCGCTTGAAAAAAAAAGGCGGGTTTATGCATATCAAGTAAACGATCAAAGATGCCACTATGTAACTGTGAACAAGTGCATAGTTGTACAATACTGATCCGGTTGAGACACCAAAGAGGATATTTTTACAGGGTTTCAATTGGGTTAGTTAGTGCAGTTACATGTCGAATCTTTTAACTCGCAAAAGACCAGCCCCAGAATGATATAGTAATTGGGAAGCCTAGGATTTCTCGGTCACGACTCTCTGGCTTAGGAAGGCACACAACTAAATTTTACTAAAGCCTTAAAAGGCTTGAATATATCTTGGCTTGGCTATTTAAGGGTTAGCTCCTTTTAGTTGTATCAATAATTTACAAGTGTCTTACGAAAATATTGATAAGCAAGGTGAGTCACACTCAAAACCTCATCCAAGCCATAAACGTTCTATTGCTTACTAATCAAACTTCTCAAGAATGTTTAGAACCTTCTTGGCAGGAAAGTACTAGAAATATTGCACAGGTGACACATAGGTACAATCCTGATTCTTTAACCTTCATAAATCGTTTCCTTGATGATACATATCATTTACACGAGATAGTTGCCTAAAGCATGTCCTAGGAAACAGATATTCGAAAACCAACTCGTTTTTTGACATTGCCTGAGCACAACAGCATGTCAGAATACGAATCTGCCCTCTATTTCAGCTTACTTTGAAGTTGATGTTATCGTCCCTCAGTATTACCACTTGATCACAACATATCCCCTGCTTCTACAGGGGAAGCCAGTGTGGCATGGTATAGAGAAGTATCTAAACAATGGATTATTAAAGTATTCATAAACTATTTATGCAAGCAAACCGATGATGATCCTCATTTTAACCTTCGCCAGCTCAACTAGAACCTACTGTGAACCGAAAATGGACATAATCAGGGTTTTTTTTTTGGCATCAAGTAGCCACTTGCTATCCAACTAAGGCAAGGCATCCCTCAAATCCAAAAATAGAATGCCACTTCATCCAATTGTACCCAATAGACACATCGCCGCAAGTCCTTGACAAATTAGAGCACCATTGACCAACTAAATCCTCATAAGACCACAGCCATACCTTGGGTTGGACCCATCAACCGCGCTAACCCAGTCATCGTGTGGCAATGGTGGCTCCTGCTTCCTCGGCGCCACGGCCTTTATGTACTCGAGCTCAAGCACCCGCTCCTGCAAACAGAATCCCCACGCAATTTTCACAACCACGTCCATCGCACAGAAACACCTCTAAAACTAAAAATTCCCAAACACGAATTCATTACCGCCGAGATGCCCTTGGCGAGCAGGAACTGATGGAGCGGCATCCGCACGAGCTCGCCATCCACGATGAAGTCGAAGGGCTGCGCCTGGTGGTCCGGCTCGGCTGCGAAACGGAGCGACCGGCTTAGTAGAAAACGAAAAATCCCCGTCGTACCGAGGCCAGGGCTAGGGTGCGGATGCGGATGCGCTCACCGGAGAGGAGGAGGCTGTTGACGATCTCGGAGAGGCCCATGCGGGAGAGCTCGGCGGGGACCGCGATGGCGGTGGGCGGCGCGCGGAGCGGAGGCGGCAGCTTCGTGACGAAGCGCACGCGCACCTGGCGCGACGTGTCGGCGTCCATAGCGGCAGCAGCGGCGGCGGACGGGAGGCGGGCGTGCGGCGGACGGGAGGCGGGCGTGCGGCGGCGGGAAGGGTGTGGGGAGGGTTTTGGGACTGAAAGGTGGGCTTGCTTGGTTAGGGTTTTTGGAGTTGGCGGGGCCCGAGTGCAGCGACGGGAACCCGGCGGAGACGCAGGAGGCAAGGTAGGCAAGTCAACCACTTTGCAGGAAGCCCCTGCTGGTGTCCCCTTATTCCATTTCCACCCAATCTTACTTACATGTTCTGGGCTTGTGACGCTGGCCCACGACACTGGCCCATTAGGCCCTTCCCAGTGCTCCACCGTGGACGGGTGCTAAGCATGCCACATAAAAAAAATGACATGGCACAACATTTAAGAAGGGAAGAGAGTACTTTGGTGACCTCAGGAAGAACCAATGCCAAGCGCGAGAACCTAGGCAAACCACTTAAATGAAACAATTTGGCCAATGCATGAAAGACTTTAGGTGCTAACTCATTAAATAAAGTGTGCTTAGCAACAACAAGTTAAGTGTGACGCCCCCGATTTAATCGTACACTAATCATGCACGCAAACGTGTACGATCAAGATCAGGGACTCACGGGAAGATATCACAACACAACTCTAAAACATAAATAAGTCATACAAGCATCATAATACAAGCCAGGGGCCTCGAGGGCTCGAATACAAGTGCTCGATCATAGACGAGTCAGCGGAAGCAACAATATCTGAGTACAGACATAAGTTAAACAAGTTTGCCTTAAGAAGGCTAGCACAAACTGGGATACAGATCGAAAGAGGCGCAGACCTCCTGCCTGGGATCCTCCTAACTACTCCTGGTCGTCGTCAGCGGGCTGCACGTAGTAGTAGGCACCTCCGGTGTAGTAGGGGTCGTCGTCGACGGTGGCGTCTGGCTCCTGGACTCCAGCATCTGGTTGCGACAACCAGAAAGAAAGGAAAGGGGGGAAAAGGAGGGAGAAAGCAACCGTGAGTACTCATCCAAAGTACTCGCAAGCAAGGAACTACACTACATATGCATGGGTATATGTGTAAGGAGGCCATATCGGTGGACTGAACTGCAGAATGCCAGAATAAAAGGGGGATAGCTAGTCCTATCGAAGACTACGCTTCTGGCAGCCTCCGTCTTGCAGCATGTAGGAGAGAGTAGATTGAAGTCCTCCAAGTAGCATCTTCAAGTAGCATCTCCAGTAGCATCGCATAGCATAATCCTACCCGGCAATCCTCTCCTCGTATCCCTGAGAGAGAGCGACCACCGGTTGTATCTGGCACTTGGAAGGGTGTGTTTTATTAAGTATCCGGTTCTAGTTGTCATAAGGTCAAGGTACAACTCCAAGTCGTCCTGTTACCGAAGATCACGGCTATTCGAATAGATTAACTTCCCTGCAGGGGTGCACCACATAACCCAACACGCTTGATCCCATTTGGCCGGACACACTTTCCTGGGTCATGCCCGGCCGCAAAAGATCAACACGTCGCAGCCCCACCTAGGCAAAACAGAGAGGCCAGCACGCCGGTCTAAACCTAAGCGCACAGGGGTCTGGGCCCATCGCCCATAGCACACCTGCACGTTGCGTACGCGGCCGAAAGCAGACCTAGCCTAGTGGCGTTCCAGTCCAATTCGGCGCGCGCCGCTCCGTCGCTGACGTCTGAAGTGCTTCGGCTGATACCACGACGTCGGGATACCCATAACTACTCCCACGTAGATGGTTAGTGCGTATAGGCTCGTAGCCAGACTCAGATCAAATACCAAGATCTCGTTAAGCGTGTTAAGTATCCGCGAATGCCGAACAAGGCCAGGCCCACCTGTCTCCTAGGTGGTCTCAACCTGCCCTGTCGCTCCTCCACAAAGTAACAGTCGGGGGCCGTCGGGAACTCAGGCCCACCACTACCTGGATGGAGCCACCTGCCCCTTCAGCCCCCATCTCCAAACAGTATCACCAGTAATGTAACAGTGTAAAGTATATAGTATATGCCCGTGATCACCTCCCGAAGTGATCACAGCCCAGTAGTATAGCATGGCAGACGGACAAGAGTGTAGGGTCACTGATGGAACACTAGCATCCTATACTAAGCATTTAGGATTGCGGGTAAGGTATCAATGACTGTAGCAGCAATGTCAGGCTATGCATCAGAATAGGATTAACGGAAAGCAGTAACATGCTACACTACTCTAATGCAAGCAGTATAGAGAAGAGTAGGCGATATCTGGTGATCAAAGGGGGGGCTTGCCTGGTTGCTCTGGCAAGAGAGAGGGGTCGTCAACTCCGTAGTCGAACTGGTCAGCAGCAGCGTCGGTCTCGTAGTCTACCGGAGAGAAGAGGGGGAAGAAATAATGAATACAGAGCAAACAAAGCACCACAAAATATATCAAGGCAATACGCGGTGTTCGGTGTGCCCTAACGCGGTAGTAGGTGATACCGGTGAAGGGGGGAAAACCCCCGGGAAAGTATTCCCGGTGTTTCGTGTTTTCGGGCAGAGGAGCCGGAGGGG